GCTTTTCTACACACTCATTCTCATGCATTTGGGCTGCCAAAATGCCATGGCCATTTTGCTCTTCCTTTTCTTGTTTTTCTTTTATCTAGTGTTTAGATTAAGAGGTTGAAGTGTTGCTTCTCTTTAAGCATATTTTCGTATATGTCTTAAAGCTTAAGAACAACATTTTACAAGTAAAGACTAGCATAGTGAAGTGGTTTCATTCTTCCTTTGGTGGGTTGTAACATCCCAATTTCAATTACAATTTTTTTCATTGTTAAACGACAACGTTACGTCCTTATCTCGATCCACCATTTGGCTCACGACCTTACACTAATCCACCAATAATATGTGTATCTAGACTTATGACCTACCAGTGATTTCATTGTGAACATGAGTCTATACGATCCTGACCTATCATTGTTCTGCCATCAACTCCGCCCTTAAATGTAATTAATAACTCAAGTACAATAATGTTTTAGCACCTACAGACTATACTTTTGGTTTTAATATGGTACAATAACACTAAACACATAGATACTATTCCTTCAGCTCAACTCTACTAACTCTTATATCTTAACATACATGGATATATATATATATATATATATATATATATATATATATATATATATATATATATATATATATATATATATATATATATATATATATATATATATATTGTAATATATAGTATTTTGAGATACTCACCTGGGCAATTACTCAGACGACTACCAGCTATCCAGTTGGCTATCCAACTGGCGGGTAACACGTCTAACAAGTATTAACCAATAATATTGTAATATGTTAATCTCTCTGACAATCTAATAATAAAGGCTAGATCTTTCACTAATCCCAATGAATACTTGGAGTTCTATCTAATAAGGAATAACCAGGTAAGATTATATTGGAGATAAGATTCGTTTGGTATACAAAGTATACTGTTTGGAAAATCCACTTTAACACCTCACTAGATGTTGCCTAGACATCACTCTCGTAAGTAGATAAATCAGTATTTTAAATGAAATCACTGAGAAATCTTATTTATAAATTCATAATAACGGTTATGAATATAAATATAAGTTACACGTAAAGTGTAGTAAGTGAAGGTTAAGTTAGAGAGTTTCTTGCAAAATTTGCAAAGTCGCAAACAGAACTTCAACTTTAAAAAATCCTTTTCATTGGGCTATCAGATGCCTCAAAGCCTTGCTATGAATATCATGGAAACCTGAAAGAAACCTTAGAAAATCAGACTTTCTAGAGAGAGAAAGTTGAGAGAGAAAAGAAGTGATGAAAGAATAAAGATTGAAAGCGTCTCTCACTTCTGACATGGATGCGCGGTGCTCGGGCTATGTGCTAGCTTCCTAATGGTGCCATGTGTCATGATTTTGTGGTGCCATGTTGCTTGGTCGGTGGAAGATGAGTCTGCCACCTCTGCCACATGGCGTACTCTGGTGCTGCCATGTCATCACTTCCGAATATTTTTCACAATCGTTGAAAAATCATAACTCTTGCATACGAGCTTCATTTTTTATGTTCTTTACATCCACATGTTCGTACCGATGAGTACTACAACTTTCCTTTAGCCTCCATTAGTTAATTCTCACTCCATTTTAAATTTATAGTCTGTGAAGATTACACTATAAAAACCATGAAAAATTCATAACTTTTTCATACAAAATGCATTCTCAATGTTCTCTATATCAATAGTTTGTATTTATTAGAACTATAACTTTCATTCAAATTTTTTTGGCTAACAATATGCCAATTTTCATTTCGATTTCTGTGTAGCATACTGATGTATTGTGTCGCACCAAAACTTCAAAAAATCATAACTTCCTCATACAAAGTCATATTTAAGCATTCTTTATATTTCTACTCTAAATTTTATAAACATACATTTATATTAAATTCTATTATAAAGTGAAAGAGGGGTGTTACATGGATACATTATAGAGAGTTTCTTCTTGAAGATTTAATGTTATCTTCATCAACTTCCTAATTGCCAAAAGGAACCAAAATTTTCAAATCTTGTGAAATCTTCTTTTGTTTGGTTATGTTTTAATCTTTCAAAGTCTTCCAAAATGATCATCGGTAGGTTAAAATGGTTTTAGTTTATTCAAATTATATAATGGTTCTGTTGCTAATTACGTCGAATTTGTCACTATAATTAGACTAATTTTAATAGAAACCCGAAAATTCTCACTAAGCTTTGTGTATATAGTTTTAAGTTTAAATGTTGCAAGTTGTTTTGGTTGGAAAGGGGAGGACACGTATGATATCAAATCCATAGAATATTTCCGTACTTTATAACTTTTATGTGTATTACTATGATCTTTCATTTCGGAGTTGCAAACTCATATTTTGGTTATCTAATTATCTTCTAATGAATTGGGGTGGTTTTATTATAATTAAAAATGAAAAATAAAAATAAAATTATTAGGATGTTACAAGTTGGTATCAAAGCCTTGGTTTGAGTGATTCGGGCTAGCATTGAGTTTGTCTAAACTTAAACTAAGGACTGAGAGAATCTTTTTACTAAATGTTTTTCAAAATTTTTTTCTAAAAATAAAAGGATGCGATGCATGCAATCAATCGCAACTAAAGTAAGTCATTCCCAAAGTATATACATATGTTTGATATGCTACTTATGATATAATTTGAATTGCAGGATGGAAAGTAGGCTAAGGATCTGCATAGGGTTACATGCTAGAATGCCTTTTTAGGAGAGATGGCTTTTATGCCTATTATGTGAATTGTTGGAGAGGTATGCTACTTTATAGGCTAAGGATCTTTCAGGAATTGCATGTTAGTATGCCCTGATCTTTTGATGCCTTATTACCTGATGGATTTTCTGCTTAAATGTTGCTTTCTTTGTGCTATGTGAAACATATGTTAGAGAGGTATGCTAATGTATATGCTAAGGATCTTTCAAGAATTGCATGTTAGAATGCCCTAATCTTTTGATGCCTTATTACCTTATGGATTTGTTATTTAAATGTTGCTTGATTTGTATTATGTGAAACATATATTGATATTAACTAGCTATTAAGAAATTACGTTAGGTTGCATGTCCTAAAGATTAAATAGTTTTCAAATGTTTGATTTGGCCTTATTGCACAACTCTTATTTGATTCCAACTGTTGTAGTGCTGGATATTTTAGTCGAAAGACTATAATTTTTTATGCATGTAATTATCATTGTAAAATACTTATTTAACATAAGTAGAAGTTTCTTCCACAACTGATATCAGAATGGGGTGAGAATTCCTACTGCCTAGGAAAAGTGTTAAAAATGTGCTAGTATGTGCACTTATGTAAGAGAAATCCTGGAAGGGGAATCTAGGAAGATTAATGGTGTGTACTCGTTCAAGCGCGGATATATGTGTTTAGGATAGTTGGTAGTGGTCATATGTAGTGACTTGGAAACTTTGAGACAATTCTTGGGACTGGTACGGATATATGTGGAAGATGGTATGGGTACGTATTTACTGGAAACAGATGATTCGTATGGGGATCAGAAAGAATCAAAATGTTACTAAGGAGTTGGTTAAAGGTAGATAGTATGGTTTGGCATCATGCTTTGTTATGGTTCGACCAAAGTGACCATTATGGTTAAAGTCCGGTTATTGTATACTGGCACAAGATTTGTTGATTCTGAAGTCTCGAGGGTTTTATTTGAGGTATTATCAAAACGAGCTGCAAGAATCAAGGAGGATGCAATCATAACGATCAACATAGGGATTGTAGTCATTGTCAGTGCAGGTCAACCGATGATTTGGGTTATCGTTTCCTAGGAAAAGTTTATATTTAAGCCTTACGTGTTCTAGATGAAGAGAGATATGATGTTCATCAGTCAATAATTAGAATAGAGGGAACGTATTTTCCGCATTAGTTTATGCCCCAAGTGGTAGAGTCCAACATGTTGTGAAGGGTTTCTTGTCTTACAACGAGGAGTAATATTGGACCCAACAACCGCCGTTGACACTAGTATGTTGTCAGTTGTATTTTGATATCCTTTGGATTCTTTTGATGTTGGTACTGGTTGGATTGGTTTGAACATGAGAGCAAGTTATTTGATTAGATCAATGTTTGTTGTGAAGAGTAGTGATATTAGGATGAGCTCATCGGAGTTGTTGCTAATGCATCAGTAGAAGGTTTTTGATGTTTTGAGAAGGGAGAGACTTTATGCCAAATTTTGTAGATGTGAGTTTTGGTTGCCCGAAGTTCGGTTCTTAGGATCCCTCATCAACCAAAATGGTGAGCTAAGATCGAAACGGTGGTACAATGGGAGGTTTTGAGGTCTCCATTTGAGATTTCAAGTTTACTTGGGTTGACAGGTATTACCTGAAGGTTTATCTTTTCCGTTTCACATACTCTAAGAATCAAGGATGGTATGTAACGGTTGGACAGATTTAGCCTTTGATAATGGTGAACGACGATAAGTGCTAGTAGGGAGGAGAACTAAGTATTTTAATTTAAGTTTCATGGAGCAGTTCAAAATTTCCGTTTCTATGTCACATGTCAGAAGAATCTACGGCTATAACATGCAAGGTTATTGGTTCATACAAATTGTCATGAGCAGCGAAGGATGGCACTCTATCATCGAAGTGCTCGTGACTAGTTAGACTCAAGAATGTATACGATTTATTAATGATTAAATTGTTTTCATAACAATATGTAATATCTATCAAAAAATAATACGTAAAATGAAAGGTCACACATGTAATATCATTTATATTAAATAATATAAAGAACTAAAATAAAAAATAATATATAAAATAAAAGACCATACATATAAAATTTGTTTATATATGAATTATTTATATAACAAACACAAAGGATCATAACTGAAAACAATATATAACAAAGGACCATAAATATAAAATTTATTTAAATTGTGATGGGTTTAGTTCGTAACGATGATGTCTGTAGCTATGATGAGTTTATAATTTAGTCACTTAGGTCAAATTAACATCATCCATACTACAGTAATAGTATAAAATAACTTGAATCAAATGAAGATGATCAATTGAATTTGATTTTCAACAAGAATTCTATGTTGTCTACTCAATCGATCTCAAGTGAAGACCAAAAAGTCAACGATATTCTGCCATTGAGGTCACTTCCTTCTTTTGTTTACCCCACGTCAACCCCCACCCTTCCCTATACTCTTTTCATTTTTCTGCAACCACATATAAATAACACGATCACAAACACCCTTATCATTTGCTTTCAAAAAGTATCTCATAACACCGATTGAAGCTATAATCGCTATGGCGGATAAGTGGTGGGATTCATCTTTAAGAACCACAACTTCATTGGATTCAGCATCTGTCAGCAACCCCATTAACGTCTACCAAGACACCGATACTCCAAGCACAACCACCATGCCCAGCCTCACAGCCACCGCCAACGCCACTTTCAGTACAGCCACCAATACCACAAGCTTACACATGATGGGGTTGAGACTTTCTTCAAACTCACCTCCACAGTCGTTGGATTGGAATCCATCTTTACTGTATGTCCACTAACGTTTCTTGATAACTTTATTTTTCCTTTTTGCATTATTAATCTTGAATTTTATTCTCTTTTTCATCCACCAAATTCAAGGAATATATAAAATGATATTAAAATAACCCATATGTGTTTATGTATATATGTTAACTAATTACATGTTACAAATATTTACTTTTGTGTAAAATTGTAGTCGCGGAGATGAAAAGAGCGAAAACAGTTTTCAGAATCTACTTCAAGATCAAGATCATAGCTTGCGATTGAATACAACAAATTTTCAGCTAGAAAGTAACCAATGGAGATCAGATAAAATGTATGCATCTAATTCACAAGATTCTTCGTCGGATTTGAAGCAATATAACGCGCGTATGTCTCACTTGGAACAACCGATGCAAGAGAGTGATAATGAGAGCATAATTACATGTCAGGGATTGAATTCAAGCTTCCAAAACATGGATTTATATGGAAGCTCTTCTACAATGATGCAAAATTTATTCGGTTCAGATAGTAATCAACAACAGGATTCGAGCTTTGATCAAAACCAAGGAATGAATTATTCTATGTATCAATCAAGCTATGACGACATGAACAAGCATGTTGGTGGTGGCATTGGTGAGGAGTTCGTTGTAAATTCATCTAAAAAAGTGCAGTTGGCTGAAATGGGTGCCAACCAAGTCCACTTCTCTAACAACACAAGATTTTGGAATGTTGCTGAAACCGGTGTGAGCAATATACGAGCGACCTTCTTTCCATCTTTCCAAATGCAATTGCCTTTGTCAACCATAGAAGATAAACCAAAGGTAACAAAATATCATGAAAAGCTAGGATGTGTTTGGTTGTGGAAAATTTTCTAGTTTTTTAAGAAAATTTCCCAAAAAAACGAAATTTTGAAAACACTTCGGTTCATTTAGTTTTCCAAAATTTTACAAGAAAAATGAAAATTTTCAGTTTTTCAAATTCTATGTATATTAGAAAAATAATTTTTACAGTTTTCTAAAAATTTTCAAATTTTTTAGATGGAAAATGAAAACGCCTCCGGTTTCAACCAAACGTGTTTTTTAAATTTTTCATTGAAAATTAAAAGCGAAAACTCAACTCTATTTTCTGAAAAAAAAAAAAAAAATTCTTAGAAAATGAAGATAGTTTTCCACAACCAAACGCAGCCTAGGGTTTCGCTCAAGCCTTGGATCGGTTTTAGTATAAGGCAGGTAGTGGCACATGCAACCCTAACTTTTCCACGCGTAGTGTAAAATATTTCGATTTTTTTTCTACTATCGTACGATCTCTGACTTTTTCATGACACCTCTACTATAAAATCTTGGGTCTACCCTTCCTAAAACCCTAGTTTTTTCATAGTCACATTACTTATTTTTGCTAAAATTTCGATTAATATGGGCAACAGATTACATCAGGAGTAACCAAAGAAAGCATAACCGAACAGTCGACCAAAAGACCTAGAAATGGCCACCAATCCCCTTTACCATCCTTTAAGGTAAACATTTATTAATTGTATACAACTCATTACAAACTTCTGATTTTATGTTACTAGAATAGGTTAGAATAAAAGTTTGTTTAGAACCGGGGTATTTTATTAAATAACAATTCCCACAAAACTACAAGAATATCGAATATGTGAAACCGGACTACAAACAACAGTCCGTACGTACATTTAAGACTCTAGAAATTTTTGTGTCTTGTCGTTATTTTAACTATTGAAATAGTTATTTGATAATACAAAATAGATATTTTAAAACGTTTGCAATTTTAGTTATTTATTATTACATATCGACACCTATGAAAATATTGTATTTTGGATTTTTCAGGTGAAAAAGGAGAAGATGGGGGACAGAATCACTGCACTCCAACAATTAGTTTCACCTTTTGGAAAAGTATATGATTGATTCTTTGAATTTCCCCCCACACACAAACAAAATAAAATTATATATATATATATATATATATATATATATATATATATATATATATATATATATATATATATATATATATATATATATATATATATATATAATCAATAGAGAAACATAATTATTGGTTCTTTAAAGAATCATTTTTTTTTAATTTCTATAATTTATTTTTTATCGAAAAAAATCTAAAAATATCTAAATTCAAATATTAAATTGTGAATGTGAAAAATATTTTTCGGATTCACGTTGTGAATTTTCAAAAATTCACATTGTGAATTTCACGTAAAAAAATCGAATTTGATATCATTCGAAAAATGATAAAAAAATTATGAATTTCCGTATTTTTAGATTTTTTTTTTTGATAAAAAATAAGTTCTAAAATGTGAACAAAAGATTTGTTTATTGGTTCATTGGTTAATTATGATTCTTTATTGAATATCACCCTATATATATATATATATATATATATATATATATATATATATATATATATATATATATGCTTAAGTTATTCTGTTCTAACTAATAATTGTGCGGATATCATATGCTATGAAAATTACTATGAGAATAAGGTATTTAGCAATGCAAATACTTTTCAACCTTATAAAAATATCGTCATTTTCATGCATTCTTACCAATTATTATTTATTTTTGTTCTCACCCATCGTTTTTTACTCATTTTCATTCTGTCAGAATACGACCTAATCAAATATTATGACAACATTCTGACAGAAGTAAGAATAATAATAATAAATGTATAATAACATTATAAACGATTTCATTAGTAAAAATGTATGTTAATGACAATAGTTATGTAAGATTGAACGTATTTATATTATCAAACAATATATTTTCTTTATCATTCTCAAAGCATACGATATCCACACAATGATTAGTTAGAATATTTGAACCTATCTATATATATATATATATATATATATATATATATATATATATATATATATATATATATATATATATATATATATAAAATACGAATTCACTTAATAATTATATTTAAAATATACATAAATCATCTTCTAAAGCAACATCTAAACCTATTAAAAAAATTTTGAAATAAAAAGTTCTCAACATAAATGGGTTCACATAAATACATGAAAGGTTAGCAAAAATATATCTACTCACTCTGTTGTTACGTAAAATGTTCAAAATATCATTCGAAATAACAATTTTAATTTTAGTGACTCGTCTTATATAGCAACATATTGGTGATACACATATATTAGTGTTGGACATATGGTGTTAGAAATTTTTTCTCCAAACTGTGTACCATACCAATTACAGTTTGTAAAAAACTTTATTTACAAGTACAATACCAAGTATTATGAAATGTGAATGCGGAGTTTTGTAAATGGTTGAGACTGCTATTTCAAACAAAAAAATATTTTGTATATTTCTACCATAAGTTTAAAGCCTAAAGCAAGTGAGAGAAATAAAACATAATGTAAACTTTACTAACACAAAGCAATTAAAAAGCTAAACATTAAACACACATTATATATATATATATATATATATATATATATATATATATATATATATATGTATATATATATATATATATATATATATATATATATATATATATAAAGGGAACTATCGTGGCATTTAAAACTTTATAGAATTATCGTATCATGATTATTCATTTGGTACGGTACTACCAACCAAATATATTTGTTACAAACATTGTTGGTTACGTTGGTAATTTGTTGGTTGGCTTTTAATTGTATATATTTGCCATCCCTAATACATACATATACATATATATTCTACAAATGTTATTAAAATATTTTGCTTGTATCAGACAGATACGGCATCTGTGTTGTCTGAAGCTATTGAATACATCAGATTCTTACATGAACAAGTTAGTGTAAGTATATAAAACTTCATTGTTCTTGTTTTTTATAATTATTTAAAAAGATCTTCGATAAAAACGATTATAATATTTAAATGTAATAGAAGAAACAAATATGCAGCTAAAGTTTTGTTGATATCCAGGTTCTAAGTACTCCATATATGAAAAATGGAGTGTCCACCATACAACATCAACCACAAAAACTACAACAGGTACTCATGAATTCAAGTTCCTTTAGCTATCAATTTGATAAATTTATATTTCGGTAATCATGTAGACATCAGAAAAATCATCAGATGGACCAAGACATGTCCTAAGACGTCGTGGGCTTTGTTTGGTGCCAGTTTCAAGCACGTTTCCGGTAACACACGAAACAACAGTTGATTTCTGGACACCAACATTTGGAGGGAGTTTCCGATGAGAGATCGTAATAATGACATGAAGTTAAAGTATATGAATAATGAGAAACAACAATAGAGCTCGTGGGAGATAAATGTAGGAAGGTAAAAGAGGAAGAAAATGGCACGAATATTTGATGTTGAGGCAAAACGATGCATATTTGGCCAATATCTTTCTAATAGAATATGAGTCTTGTTTTAATAATAGTAGTCTATGTAACATTCAAAAAAATTTAAAAATTTTAAAACTTTTAGATAAATCCAAACCCATCATTTATTATATAATGTTTTCAAAATAAGTTTCACATCAGAGTTTTCCTAGAAGTCATAGCACAAAATATGAGGAGGGTGCACGATCAAGCGTTCGCCTTTCTGCGATCATATGAGGTAGCTGAAACATAATAAAAAAAGTGTAAGACTGAAGCTTAGTGAGTTTCCCCTAAAAAACCAATTACAATACAAAACTGGAATAATATCACGAACAACATGCGTTTAGAGCCCTCGGTCTGACTGGAACGCCCTACCGGCCTACAATCTATTTGGTACGCTCACATAACCTACAGCATGACTGGTATGGCACCTCGGGCCTTCAGCCTATCTGGAACATTCTTCGGGCCTTCGACCTGACTGGTACACCCCACTAGCCTTCGGTCCATCTGGGACACTCTGGGCCTGTTAGCCTTCAGCACAGAGCAAGTCCGCCTCAACCCAACCACACATAACATGTCGACATATGCATAATAGTTAAATACACAACCAGTCAATCAGACAAACAGACAGATCTTACAGATCACTAAGCATAACATCATCCCATTATCAGGATACAGATCTAACAGATCACTACAAAACTCAATCATGCGTTAATCAGGATAACAATCTAAAAGGCCCGGCCTTGGTGCCTTCGACCCAACAAGTATAGTGAGGAACACTCACCTCACAAGTAGTGATGAACCAGTAAAATCCATTCCAAAAACTCAGCTCCGGACTTAAATGCATGCAACCACCATGACCATTTCTATCAAAACCCCGAAATACCCAAAATGCCCTCAAAGTCCAACTTGGTCAACCATAGTCAAAGTTAATGTCAATAGTCCATGTTGACCTAACTAGTCGAGTGCACCTAACAACTCGTCGAGTTCCTTCAGCATCCATAGAAGCGGGAAAACCCTAGCCAACTCGCCGAGTTGTCAGGACAACTCGTCGAGTTTTCCCAGTCTTAACACATTTACCCTTTGTTGACAATTCTAATGCTTTAAAATGTAGATCTGACACCCAATGGTTGAAAACCCACGTAAAGTTGCTAACTTTACGTCCACGCATGACAGAAGGAGGCTCCAAGACTCAATAAAGGCTTAATCAGAGACATAGAGCATGAAAGAGGCCTAGAACTTGCTAAAGCTTGCAACTTTAAGTCCAATGAGGTCATAAGACGTCTAGATTTGAAGTGATAACTTCATGAAATACTCAACCCATGAACAATCCCAAAAATGAGCCAAATATGGAAATAGACTTCCAAGAAAGAGATCTAAGCAATAGATAAGCAAGTTTTCAACTTTTTTTACCTCAAAAGCGTAGCTAAACTTAAGGATATTCTAGATCTATAGCTTCCCTCTTCAATCTAGGCACCACCAACTTCAAGCTCTTTCAAAAATATGGCCAAAAGAAGCAACTTATAAGCTCACACACTCAACTTTAGGTAAGATGCACGAATTCTAGGGTTTCTACACAAAGGAGGCGATTAGGGTGGCCAACAATGAGACTTAAGGCCTTTAAATAGGGTGCAACACCCTAAAAATTAGGGTTTCATATTCAGCCACCAACTCGTCGAGTTTTCCTCTCCAACTCGTCGAGTTGGTCCAGAAAGTTCCACAACCCAAAACTTTCAACACGTCGAGTTGAGGCTACCAACTCGACGAGTTCCAATGAAAAATTTGTCTTTTTAATGAAATTTCTAATACCTGAGAATCGGGATGGTATAGCCTAGTAGCCTTCATTATCATAATTAGTTAGTTAATTAAAGTTATATATATATATATATATATATATATATATATATATATATATATATATATATATATATATATATATATACCTCTTCTAATAAAAAATAGTTTTTATATTATGTGTCCCTTTCTCATGCACTTGAACACATGACATTTTCTGGATTTGTTGATTTATTTATTCCACTTGTTATTTCGTAATTAATTATACAATAGTAATAATAATAAATAATAAATTTAATTATTTTTTTCATTCCAATTTAAAGAAAATATATGATGTCTTGCCATTTCTTTTGTTGATATCACATCATTCATCATTTCCATAAAATCAACGTCCTCTTAAGTAATCGCAATCATTCAAGAAACTAAAATCATCAAGAATGTGGCCAATCATTTCTCCTCACAACCCTCAAATTAAATTCAAATATCAAATGGAAATCCCCTAAATCTCAAAATATATCTCTACAAATCCACCATTTCTCCTCCATCATCGCAATAATCCAACATTATCCTTATGAAAAAAAAATCTAAAATCTTTTTAATAAAAAAGTTGAAAGGTCTGATGGGATGAACTGAAGCTCTTATCCGCTCTTCCACGCGCCATGTTTTGATTTTAGGGTTTCCTACTTCTTGGATAACAAGCACATGTAATAACTCCTATCTTATTTTCCACTGTTTTATTATTGTTTTTTCCTTAAATCATCTTTTCTAATGTGCCAATTGATTTTTACCATCTCCGATGACTTGGAGTTATCGTAAAAAACCATTCATATGCCATTACCAAGTATGACACAAAGGCATGATGTTGTTACTGAACGGGGAGTAAACAAACAAGTAGAAGTCAGTAAATTGGATATGTATCAGTTGATTTAATTTGTTTTTTGAAAGATCCTTCACTTTTAGTAAACATCAACATGTCATCAGACTAGAAAATTGCTCAAGTTGATCATAATTTTATTATTTTTTTTTAATATTGTGTAGTTGTTTTGTAGTCTTTTTCATTAATCAATGTATCGGTTGATCCAAACTTTAATTTAATCTAATTTCAGTGTTGGAATAGGAGTTGGAAGTTGAAATCAACATGTTGTCAATGGAAGGATCATATAATCCATCTTTGGGATACCCATAATTTCTCTCTAGTAATGTTCTTCTTCATTCTTCCTTGACCTACATTTTTTATCTTTTCGCATCTTAATTGTACTTAAGGACTAATTGTTTGTTATATGTTTTTATAGGTATTTGATTCATCAAAAATTTAAAGAAATTTGTTTCAGGTTAAAAGTTCTATCTGATGTTGCAAAAGAACTCTTTATACAGGTTCATAAAACTATTTTGTTATGCTTGGTGCTTGAAAAATAAAAAATAGGTAATTATTTACAATTACTTCATTGTTTGTGTAATCGTAGGTTCAAGAAGCTACACATGGAAGTGTTTGTAAGATTGTCTCATAGGAAGTAGGGTTTAATGGGCATCGATCAGAGCTTCACAAAAGGATGCTATCAAAAACCTATACATGATCTATCAAAGACCTATACACAATCTAGTTCAAACCTTCTTCTTCTTCTTCTAAATTTTTGGATTTTCTCTTCAGGTATTCAAACTTGCCCATTCCCTTATTAATTCAGCCCATGTTCTTTTATGTTTTTATTAAGAAGCACATTTTGTTGATCGTTAGTATGATCCAAAGTATAAAGTCAAGTCAGAGACTAGAGATAGTTTGAAAAATATAGTTTGGAACTATACTTTTAGTTTGAAGTCTTAACTAAAATTTCAAACTGGATATTGTCTTCAAATATAATTTGACTTGAATCAACTATTTGAGCTAGAATCCCAAATTGATAACTTTTAAACTCAAACCGGAGGGGCTATTTATTACAAATGGGAAATCAATGCCACCAAGATTGGTAATATGGAAATATATAGTTAAATTTGTATTAATCATCTATGAGAATTTGATAATTTAATGAACAATCAGAGGCTCATTTAGACTGAATTTTATAATTCTTAAGTCAATTTTAGCTAATTGAATTATATGATGTATCTCAGTTTGTGGTTTTTATGCTAAGATACTCCAAAGAAAGATTTTTAGTGACCAAGACCAAATTACTTAATGATTATGAAATCTTGATTTTTGGTTTTATTTGCGTTGAATACACCCATTATGGTTTTTTAATATTTTGTAACACCCGATTCAAATTATGGTATTATTTTCGAGTATGTATAGTAATCTTCTTTGGAATCCACAATGTGGTGAACCTCACCATGACGTGGTGATGAGTTTTGGGCCGCAGAGTATAATGAACCACCACGACGTGGTGGTGGTTGCTAGGTAAAATCCTAAAGTTTAAGGGTTGAGCCCTATTTGAAGATACTTAGCCCCTTCTAGCCTCCTCCCATCAAAATCCATCTCTCCAAATCGTCCCTTGCAAACCTTAGAGCCATTTTGTGATTTTTTCCTTAAAAGTGTGAGTTTTTGGGTGCTTGTGAAGGAAAAGGTGGTGGAAGACCTCATTGGGAGTCCAAGGCAAAGAAGATCCAAGATTTTACCTTCCACTAGCATCTCAAGGAGGTATAAAGTCTTCATCTTGATGAGTTTATGATTAGATCTATGGATTTTTCCCTTTCTTTCTCTATGTCTTGTTGCCTTGGGTGGTTGAACTTCATAAAGCTTGTAACTTTTTGAGTCTCCAGGCCATTTGGAGCGTTTGGCTCTTCGGATCTAGTCTAGAATTTAGTTTTGAAGGCCATACAGGGAATCTTGGCCTTTTTGCCCTATTTTAACCTAATAAGAGTTTAAGACATGCATGTATAAAAAGCACCGACTTTTATGGTGTGTTTGGAGTTAGAGACTCTCTTAAAAGTAGAGATGTATGCATTTTGGAGGGTTCTATTGAATAAAGTTGGAAACTTTATCCATATAGACCATCTTTTGGACCAGATCTGAGTTGGAGACCTTTTGGAATCGAATGAAGTGGCTGAATGCAGTAAGCTGCTGAAAACCTTGTAAACACAACGTGGAAAGGCCACCACGACATGGTGGTGGAGTGGTTTGCGACTACTTTGATGTATTCGGCACCACAACGTGCTACAAGGGTAACACAACGTGTCGGTCAAGCCGAGTTGACTTTTCTTGACCTTTTAACCGTTTGTCTAAGTTTGACCTTAATGGTATTTTGGGTATTTTGATATTTTGATGGAAAATGGTATCTTGGTGGTTGTAGGCATTGAGTAGGGAGCTGAGATTCGAAGTCGAATTTTGTCATTTCT